GGGGGGGGGGGGCTGGTTTCCCATGTTTAGTTCATGGCATGTTCAGTTCATTATGGCGTTAAAGCATTGGAAACCAATGTATAACAAGCAACAACAATGAAATAATAATATTAATGCAAATTAAAAAAAAAAAATTTTTTTAATAAATAAATAAAAAAGACCAAAAAACAGAAAACAGAATGAAATAGAAGAAAAAATGTAAGTCAATTTGCACGCTCCAAGGGCAGTTTTCAATTTGAAAAGACTTGTACAACTGCAACATTGCAGAAAAAATGTTATGTAGTGCCTTGAGTCTGATGTAGACTTTCACCCTGTTTTGCTGAGCTTAAGCATAAGACCCACTACCCAGCCATCCAAAATATGCTGCTTCCAAAGGTTGAACTGGCATGGGGTTTGAAAACTTCCACAAGTCATTACACAGTGGCTAAAACAGGGTGCATCAGCAGCACAAAACGGCTTTCATATGCTGATCTCTCATAGCTTACCTTGAAAAGGGGCAGTCAAGCTTAGGTTTGTGTCCGTCTATGTATGCGTGTATGTTTGTGTGCATGTCTTTCTGTGGGTAAAGGAGATGTTTACGTGTACTCATGCGTTTCCTTTCTCCAGAAACAGTTCTTAGTGATGCTTGAGTTTCACAAGTCACATTTCCTCCATCCTCACACCAAAACCCCCGGTCAATCTTATTGTATTAAGTTAGCCTGTCTTACTACTTTTCTAGCTCTGTTCTGAAAATAAATTACAGTACTGTTAAATAGATTGTATGGGTGGCTAAGTGGTTTGAGTTTGAATATGGACCGAAGTTGCGTTCCTTAAGGGGTATGATACTGTATTCCAAAGTGATGAGAGATGGAAAGAGTGTGAAGACATCAATCAAGTGTCAATATTGTTGAGTTATTATTGTTTTTTTCCGCTGCTAAAAAGCCATGATTTTTTTGTTTTGTTTCATCTTATACACAAAAATAACATTACATAGTTGTGATGTCACATCAGTGTGCTGCTATTTTATAAACAATTGTATTATAATTATTTTACTGCTTACAGAATACTTTGAGAATACAGAAGTAGAGGGTAAAAGAAGAACATGAATTGAGTATTCGACTGGAAATGCTCTTTGTACAGTGTGCTCTTATTAAGGCATGTTTCTTTACCTTTTAATCTTTTTTCCTCCTCTTCTTTCTCCGTCACATTCTGTAAGTGTGGTATCTCTATACCTCAGGTTTACTGGACATAAAAGACTTTCCCATTACCTCGCACAACTCACAACAGTTTTTTCGGGAACCTGGAAAAGGCAGCGCAAATAAGAGGTTATGATATTTCTGCTGTGTCCGATGTAGTAAATTAAGTGGAATTGAATTTCCAAAGTAGATGAATAGCAAGCTTACAAGGCTCCCACCTGGACTTCAGAAATAGTAGACAGAGGAGGTGATGAACGTTTGACTGTGTCTTATGTACACGGCCCATATCAGTGGAAATAAACCTGTAAATATCAAAAAAGCAACACCATTGAGAAAAGCCCTCCTCCCTCCACTATAACCACATCATGTACCTCAGTTACGTCTGTTGCACAACCTCTGTTCAATAAATCTGCTTTAAAGAGTGTGGTGCTATGTTGGTCCTATGTTATTGTTCCCTTTTATTGGCAAAGTTAACAGTGAAAATAACAATGGGAATCTATCCAGCATGTTATATATAACCTGATAAAGAATGGCTGTAAAGACAGTGTTGATAACCAGACACAGGCCAGATGGAAAATGACACATTTCAAAAATAAAGCAGAGGTTGAACTTTTCTGTTCAACAATGTTTCCTTCCAGAATTATCCGCTAAATAATTACAACTAAATCAGATTGTCACAACTGATTTTGAGGAGATGAATTCATTAGGGCTTGGCAACTCTGGATATTCTTTGGATTTCTGTTGAACTCAAATAATTTGTCATTGAGAGCATGAATGAAGTTAAAGGAGAGGACATGCTGTATGCTAAGGTCAATAAACTTACAATGAAAGAAGTATTCGTCTCCTTTTATCTTTATTTTAGTACGTACATTGGTGAAAATTGATATAATTCGACGTCTTACGTTTTTCAACTGAGGAATAGGCCTAGTTAGTGAGCGATTAAAATATAACATTAAAAAATAATGTACCAATTTGTCGAGTTAAAGTAATACCGATGATATACAGTTTAAAATAAAACGACAAATGAAAATTAAATGACAGACTCTGACTAGACCTTATGCAATTTCAAATCCCGCCACGCCAATGAAGTGCAAACATCTACGTCAGGATGAGCTATGACTGATTCGTGAACGAATCATTCTTTTGAGTCGGATCTTTTCAAGGAATCGGTTGAGCAGGAGCGTACAACCGGTCTGAACGATTTAAATCATTTAGTAGATTTAGCATAGGATAAATTAAATTACAAAAAGGACCCTTATAAATAAAGCAAACAAAAAGCCTACATGTAGCTTTAGAGCTTAATGGGACTGCGTAATGACTTTAATAGGTTTTGACAAAAAGAATGGCTGTTTTTGAACAGTTCAAAAGAACCGATTTGTGAAATTGAATCGAACCTACCAGCCATGCGTACTAACTTCCGGTTAATAAAGTACAGAGATAGCGCTGTCGGTGCTTTCACCCCAAAGTAGCAAATATTAGGCGCTTATTTTAAAAACGCAAGAGGCGTGACAGTTTGTGATTGACTCTGGGCGCAAAGGATGAACATCATATAACCTCACGACGCTGTTAACGGCATCTTTATAGCTGCACCAATGCTCGCTTTTGGTTTAACGATAGTCCGACAGTAAGTTGCTTTTTTGTTTGTTTTGTTCTCATTCATAGCTATTCCACATAGCCAACTGAAAATCACAGCATTATACAGTCAGTAACGGTAAATAAAAATGATCTAAGAGAATAGCTTTAATCATGTTACATCAGTTTTAATTGTAGATAGGTACGTTGTCTGGCATTTAGTACGTTACAGTTTAAATATACTCGTAGGTCTTTAGTTTAACGTTTACTGGGCTCCTCATATCATATGGTGACCATACGTTCCATTTTCCCCGGACGCGTCCTGGCCAGGATTTCTATATTGCTTTGATTCAAAGTACCTCGACAGCGTTTCGAAAACACAAGGAACCGATGCCATACACCGATCGGTCTGCACACGCAAACAAAGCCAAACCCTAGATATTTTAGGCAATATAGAAATCCTGGCCAGGATGCGTCCGGGGAAAATGGCACGTATGGTCACCCTATCATATCATATTACTCCTGTCTGTTGTAGCTTATGCTTAAAGGTCAGTACGAATCTCTCTTCCAGTGAAAGGTCAAAAGCAAATTTGATGTAACTTGTGGTCTACTCTATTAAACAAAACAAAAAATATATTCTACCGTTACTGTCATGTAAGACCGATATGGGCAAAGTCTGCTGTCTTTATTGCAAGACGTTGTGTAGAATCCCTTGTTTTTTTTTTGTTTTTTTTTAACTACATGTCTATTTACAAAAGACCCATTAAGTTACAGTTATAACTTTCTTAATTAAAAATATGTGTGTTGGTTAATAATGTCGTTTTTATTGATCATACCGTTTTGCTTTACCAGTGGTGAGACGCAGTGCAACAAAGATGGCCTTTTACAAGGTAATTTTTTTCAAGGAAAAAACACATTATCTGTTATCCCTAACTATCAGTACCCCTTCCTTTATTCCATTAGCCTATTAATTATAAGCATTCATTATAACCACAAACTATATCTATCATTTCAAACTATATCTATCTTTTTTTTTTTTTTTTGCTTTAGGTCAAAAAATAGACTCTCCGCTTTCTGAAATTGGGATACGGCAGTCTGAGGCTGCTGGTCAGTACCTCAGGGATGTAAAATTCACAAATGTGTTTGTCAGTGACATGAAACGTGCCAAGCAGGTAAGCAGAAACACACTAGTAGAAGTCATACAATCTGGCCACAGGTAGAGGGAGATGTTTCTCCACAAATTTGACAAAATAACCCAAATCAAATCCAGATCAAATGAGCTGTAAATGCATGTTTCCTTGGATAAGCATTAAAGTGAGTAGTTTTGAGTATTAATAAATATATTTAATGTGTTACAGAAATTATCAATAATACTCATCATATGTTTGGAGTCAGACAATTTCTGTTATAAGATATTGTTATAAGGTTGCACAAGCCCTTCTTGTAACAAGGACTACTTTCTTTGTGTATTTGTTTGCACAGTGTATTTGTTGACACTTTTATTATTTGAATAATCACGTGACACGTCTTTGTAAAATTACAGACTGCAGAGATCATCGTGAGGAACAACAGAACCTGTCATGATATAGAACTAGTAGCAGATCCATCACTTAAAGAGAGAGTAAGTACAGACTACCGCTTGATAAAATAAGAAAAATGTCCGCTCAAAGTCTGTCCTTTCTGAGCAACTTTTCATATGCATCTCAATCCTATTTCTTTTCTCCAGAGTTTTGGTATAGCTGAGGGAGGTCGAGTCATAGAAATGAAAAATATGGCTAAAGCAGCCGGACAACCTTTACCAGAGTTCACTCCACCTGAGGGAGAGACCATGGAGCAGGTAAAATCACTTTTTTTGTGATGAAAGAAACTAAATGGCAACACTTGCTGCATCCAATTATGAAAAATGCTGCAATGCAACAAAGTACGTCCAGATTCAGTGATCGTGTCACATCCCTTCTACCAAGTTACCTTAGTTGTAGATGTATCGTAGATGTATCCTTCGCAGTCTGTGATATCCAACTATCCTGTGTGTTTAATTTCATGACACTTGGTAGTATTGTTCTGTGACAATACTAAAGTTGACATGCATTTCCTGGCTGAATTTTTCATTGCATGTTTTAATAATGCTATTTGAATATATTTTTACAGTATATAGAAAGCCTTTTTGTTTTGTTTTTTTCAGGTAAAAGTGCGAATCAAAGATTTTCTCAAGGCTATGTTCCAGCAAATAGCTAATGAACATCAAGACAAAATACAAGATGGTGAAACATCCCTACCAGATGAAACCGATAGGGCTCCAGCAGGACTTCCGGATGATGGAGTCTTGAATGTGCCTGTCCATGCCTTGGTGGTTGGCCATGGGGCTTATATGAGCATAGCTATGAAGTATTTCTTTGAGGACCTGAAGTGCCCCATGCCCCGTGGTTTAGACCCTTCTCAGAGGTATTCCATCTGCCCCAACACCGGAATGTGCCGATTTCTTATCACTTTGAAATGTAGTAATGCAGATCCTGCACTTTCAGATGTGAAATGTGTGTTCATCAACAGAAGAGATCACATCAAGGCTTAGAATTAGATTAAGAACAACAGTTTTAAAATTTAAAAGGTAAAATGTAAGAAATCAACAAAATGTTTACATGTGTTATGCAAAAAAATAAGTCATATTGTATTCAAGCACTTTAACCAGATTACAGAATTTTGTGATAGACAAACATATCAACTTTTGGAAAGACAATATTTTAAAAAATATCTGAAGGATTTCAGTTATATATACAGTATCTCACAGAAGTGAGTACACCCCTCACATTTTTGTAAATATTTTATTATCTTTATTTATCTTTTCATGTGACAACACTGAAGAAATTATACTTTGCTACAATGCAAGCAGAACTAAGGACATGGATTACTGGAACCATGTCCTGTGGTCTGATGACACCATCTGAACCAAATAAGTTTATCTTGGTCTCAAGCGTGTGTGGCGGCAACCAGGTGAGGAGTACAAAGACAAGTGTGTCTTGCCTACAGTCAAGCATGGTGGTGGGAGTGTCATGGTCTGGGGCTGCATGAGTGCTGCCGGCACTGGGGAGCTACAGTTCATTGAGGGAACCATGAATGCCAACATGTACTGTGACATACTGAAGCAGAGCATAATCCCCTCCCTTCGGAGACTGTGCCGCAGGGCAGTATTCCAACATGATGACGACCACTGCCTTGCTAAAGAAGCTGAGGGTAAAGGTGATGGATTGGGCAAGCATGTCTCCAGACCTAAACCCTATTGAGCATCTGTAGGTCTCTTAACATCCACCAGCTCCGTGATGTCGTCATGGAGGAGTGGAAGAGGACTCCAGTGGCAACCTGTGAAGGTCTGGTGAACTCCATGCCCAAGAGGGTTAAGGCAGTGCTGGAAAATAATGGTGGCCACACAAAATATTGACACTTTGGGCCCAATTTGGACATTTTCACTTAGGGGTATACTCACTTTTGTGGCCAGCGGTTTAGACATTAATATCTGTGTGTTGAGTTATTTTGAGGGGACAGCAAATTTACACCGTTATACAAGCTGTACACTCACTACTTTACATTGTAGCAAAGTGTCATTTCTTCAGTGTTGTCACATGAAAAGATATAATAAAATATTTACAAAAATGTGAGGGGTGTACTCACTTCTGTGAAATACTGTGTATATATATATATATATAACAAAAGGATATACTATTCTATAATATAAGATATAATATAATTTATCATATAATATCATATGAGTCATGAATATAATTTCACATATATGTAAACACATAATTAAACACGCAACATGAGCTTTGTTATGCATTTAAAAAATATATTTTCAAAATATATTTCAATATATTTAACAGTGTTTCACATATATGTGAATATATTACCTTTCTGTATGGGAAAACATTGGGATTTTACTCAAAAATATT